GGCTTATTTAAATCGATTTTTGGTCTACTAATATGTAGAAAATACACGTACATTTTTTTTCTCACCGACGAATTGTGGTTTTCTCTACGACAGGCACAGCCCCCACCCCACTCGCTTGCGCTACCCCTGCTAAATGGTAGAACCTTTGAAGAAAAATGAATGTAGCATGCAGTGAATCAATAACAGAAGTTTAACTCATAAAACTTTAATGATGCACAACTTTGTAAAACAACACACGTGATTATCATGGGAATAACTGCAACATTATTAATCTGGCCTGTTTATGTTTATTATTTAAAAATATAAAACGATAAGGTGAAATGTTATATGATTCGCTTAGACTATGAACGCAAATATATATATATATACATATATGCGGAGCCCTGTCCTTTTGTCGCACTCCTGTATCTTGCATGTGTCCCATAAAATCTGAAATCGGATAAATCATTTTATTGCGATTTTTCTCTGCTTTCTAGAATGTCTTAAGTCTATAATGTAATGATTATAATAATATTTCCCATTTTCTTAATACCACAGACCTACAAATTATATAATAACCAATCGAACTGAGAGAGCCGTGAATCATCCAGTATCTTAAAAACAAGGAAAAGGGAGGGGCACAATCGATGAAGATAATATTCAATATTGTAATACTGCTATAACAGGTGAATGTAAATCCATTTCTTGCACCCCATTCACTTATTATTTACAGCTGCTAAAATCAAATAACAATATGTAGCAACTTGACTAAGAATGGAACTGAGAAAACTAGAATCAACTTTTGAATCGGGTGACCACATTGTACGTTGATGGCGGTGTTGCATTTGTTTTCCTGACAGCAGTATCGACAATATCCTTCATCTAAAGATAGATAACAGTCTACCTCACACGCTTCAGCGCAACCACGTGATACGTGCGCCTTTTTGTCGTAAATATAATGTATAGTTTTCTGGAAAAATAAAAATAAAGTAAGATTTCAAATATAGTTTTGTTTGGTTAAGTTATGATTATAATAAAACAAGATAATTATTAATTAAAATGTAGGCTGTATAGGACAACGAATAACATCTAAGCCTACAAACAATGGATGGTTCCAATTTCTTTATGAAGTCACAACAATTTAATACAGTACAAATGTATAAATTGCATAAAACTACAAGAAAAAAATTAATAAAATTTAAAATATAGATTACAATCAGTGGTAGTATTGGCAGAACGTATATAACAGGCGTATGCATAAACGAAACATGTAGGCCTATATTGCAACAATGTACAGTTATACTGCATTCACAATTTAAAAGCTTATCTTAAAAATATAACTTGTTTAAAAATAATAAATAAATACTATATTACTTATACTACTATGTGTACATACATAATATAATAAAGGAAATGCAATAAATACAGGTATACAGCTCACTGCGTACACATAAATGTAGTAATCAATGGCGGATTCAAGGAGCCCACCCAGCCAGCCTGTTTCCCCCATCCCATAAATTTTTCAAAATATATTAAAGAAAATGATAATAATAATTAAATTTAAGTTTGAGAGTGCCCTTTTCGGCCATTTAGAGGTGTTATGAAATCTGAGCTCCAAGCATGATGGTCTAGACCCTCCATGTGTGGAAGTCTTCCCTCCCCACTCCATCTCTTCTATCTCTAAAGGCCGGTTCCTACTAAAGGCCGGTTCCCACTGAACGCGATCACCTCGCACACCGCGTCGAAGTTCGAATATTGGGCGTTCGCGTGTTCGACTACAAATTCGTTTGCATGTTCACATTGGAAACGCCAGTCGCGTCTTCGATTCAGCCGCGCGTGCCACATTTCGACGCGAAATTCGCTTGATCGCGTTCAGTGGGAACCGGCCTTAAGAAACATGGAACGCCAAAACAGATTCTTACATAACAGAAGGCAGAACATATTGTTGTATTTATCTCTTGAGGAACTCCAAAGGGAAACGTCTCTAAACATGTTGTCTCTGTCATGTAGTATCCAGTACATTCATAACATTCATATTCTGTTAAATATAAATATAATCAATCAAAATTGTTGTCGGAAAATGTTCATAGAAAAAAACATATATCAATTTGTTAAAAATCAAATTTAAAAAAAAAAGTGAAAATCAGTCATTGGAGACGCCCAATACATTTTTATTGTTCAGTGCTATGCAAACCTATCATTTATACACTTTCAACAAACAAAGGAACACATTTTATAAGATATATCTGAGTCTGAAAATTTTACTGGTTCTTATTAAACAAAAAAAGATGTATATTCAATGCCTTAGCCAGGATTTTCAAACAGTGCGGGACAATCAGGGTGGATCTACTTTACACGTAAATTCAAACAATGTGGACCCATTTTACGCATAAATATGAAAAATCTTGACCTATTTTCTTACATTTTTACCAATTTTAAGCTAAATATGAGCAATCTGGACCCATTTTATGCATAAAATTACATAATTTGGACCCATTTTAAAAAATGTGTACCCATTCTTTGTAAACCCATTAGGACAATAGCTCAGTGGATACCACATTGTGTATATTCCAAAATAAAACTTAAGTTTAATGCACTTTTCCGGAGTGTTAAATCAAACTTAACAACTGACCAATCAGAAGCGCGCTAGGAATAATGTACGTGCCTTTCGCATTTTTCATGTGCATTTTATCATAGCAAGTAAGAAAATGCAGGGATTAGCGTTTTCGATTGTTTGTTCTCGTTCTGGAAACATAATAACGTAGGCCTATACAATTATTAACGTAACGCCATTATGATTATTAATACCTATAACATTATTATGCGCCATAAATATATTTATAATTAATGAGTATAGTTATATGAGACTGAGAAGACCAATGCCTTCATTTATTCAAGTAGGGGCCTAAGGTAGGTCTAGTAAGTAGGCCTACATCTTTACAAACTCTGTAAGTAAGGAGACGACAGTCTTTTCGTAATGTACCGGATATCTTTCCTTCCCTAGCTAGACTTTATATTACCTACCATTACCTGGCGTATTATATTGGCTTAGGCCTAACTAGGCTAGACCTGCAAGGACAGGCTATACAAAATTTGAAATAGGAAGGGACCTAGGCATAGGTAGGCCTAGGCTACTCCCCGGTGATGAAGTGTATGCACGTACGTAGGGACCTACCTGTTGTTGTAATGTTAGCGATGCACGATACAACCATGGAAACAAATAAAACAACAATACAATATATTGTCGGCATTATCACAATACTATCACAATAATCAGCCTAGGCCTACATATTTTAAAATTAATTGTTTATTTATGTCACTGCAGTTCCTTCGGAATTCATTTCATGGAGCTGTTTGTATGAAGACACGTGGCGTGGCGGTGCGCATGACTCTCTTCAAGTACGTGACAACGCGTGCATCGCGTCAGCACGCGCTTCTAAATCGAATCCAAACAACTGATCAATCAGAAAGGAGAAGACTACACTACCGGTATCAAATTTCATCAAAAAAGCGACACATAAAATGTGGTGGAAAATAAGAGTTGAACATGACATATGTCACATTTTTTGATACAATTTGATAGTATGTGATATGACGTCATCGTACCCATATATGGGCACATCACATAAAATTTGATAGTGTAGACAAAGCTTAACACAAATTCTGTAGTCATGTTGTGGGATATTAGCGACAATATCCAATTGGACATCCACTGAGCGGGTCTTTGTGGACAGGTCCATTCCGCAACAATTTGCTTATTTTATCTTGTATTACAGGAAATGAAATAAGACGAGAGATAAAAAATAATCGTACCACTACCAGGAATCGTTTTTAGGACCTACAAATGTTTAATAATATTAAAACATTTATTGCCTGTTGTTAGTGCGATATGTAGGGTTACTGTATCGAAATTAGACGGATATTCACCAGTACAGTAATACTGTGTCTTAATATTCTACAATTATTTTAACGGGCAAGACTCGGTGTACTCATCGAGAATAAGGTTATGATTTGGTAAATTTGTTGTTAGGTTGACATTTTAAACCCATCCCCCTCTCCCCACCCACCCCAAAAAAAAAAGCTTTATGACAGGTTATGTCGTTCGAGTTTGATTTACCTTACCAGTGATTCGTATACCATGTTGCATAAGCTTTTAATGATTAACTGCATCAATACGTTCTTTGTTAATTTGTACATTAGTTTTAACACTGTTAAAACCATGGATTTATATAAATAACTGGTAAAATTCGTCTCCATGGTGATATCAGGATTGTTTCATATCACCATAGTGATATCATGGAGTTATTACTCGTTCCACAGTAGTCATGTACAAATATGGAACGCAACACATTATCTTATTGAATTCTTAATAATATTACCCTTATGTAAACACACATTAATTACTCAGGTATTCGCAGTTAATCAGTCCAGTCGCTAGGTTAATCTATGGTAGGCCTAAGGGTCTACTGAAACGAGTGACTGCGTCCCCTTCCAGCTATTAAAGCACGAGTTTTTATTTTTTCTGTACGACTTAATGAAAGTTATAAATAACTGGTAAAATTCATCTCCATGGTGATATCGGGATTGTTTCATATCACCATAGTGATATCATGGAGTTATTACTCGTTCCACAGTAGTCATGTACAAATATGGAACGCTACACATTATCTTATTGAATTCTTAATCATATTACCCTTATGTAAACACACATTAATTACTCAGGTATTCGCAATTAATCAGTCCAGTCGCTAGGTTAATCTATGGTAGGCCTATATAGGGTCTACTGAAACGAGTGACTGCGTCCCCTTCCAGCTATTAAAGCACGAGTTACTATTTTTTCTGTACGACTTAATGAGAATAACTTTCGAAAATCATATTACTGTTGTTTACATTGATTATACTGTTATACTGGTGCGTAGTTTTTATAGACCTATTAAGTGACTTCACCCTCAAATAAATGGAATAGTCTGAAGTTTGTTGGTGTAGTAAATTGTCGATAATCATTCGGTACATCTGTTGCTGTGATCCTCGTGAACCAACAGAGCTCCCCTTGACGAGCTTAAGTTTTTGTAAGTCCTTTAACTTTAGCCTTGCTTGGTTGGAGTGGTGCAACTGCGCTAGCCTTCCGAGACAGTATATAAAATATTGTTGCTAGCACTGGCTAGATCTCACCAAGGTTCACTACAGTACGTTTCTTCTAGTTGTGTTGGATATTTCATCCAGCGTCCCGGTTGCGGACAATTGATTTTTAGTCTAGTTTATATAAGGTAAGTGTAGTAGCCGATATCATCTTTATATTTCATCAGTGATTAATACGATACACATATTGACTTACTGGTCAGTGATTCTAACAGTATAATAGTAGCATTCATCCACTTGCATATACCATGGTTGTCAATATATTTTTCCCCATCATGCCAAATGATGATGAACTTCTTTATAATAATGGTCGACTTCATGAATGCATATTGTCGGACCTCCATGCGCGTTTATAGATACCGTATAACTCAATCACTTGATAATAGTATTATGTTTTAAATAATTAATTGTTTTTATTCACCTTTTTGGAGAGCTACCTGACAGTAATTAATTTTGATCCTGTCATGTTAGTGTGTGTGTGTGTTTTTTTGTTTTGTTACTGTGGTATATTTCATATTTTCTTGTTTGTTTCTGTATTTTTAATATGTATTTTTAATGAAAAATAAATGAAATGAGCTGATGATAATAAATTAATAATGGTCTCGATCATCAGTATGACAACAGTGAGCATGATACTGAGTTTGGTAAATTATGAAAAATACGTTGTTATACATTTTTTAGTTCATCTCAAATGTAAGTATGATAACTGACTATTTAAATTATTACTACATTGTGGTGGCCTTTTAGAAAGAGACACTGACCTGACAACATTTTACATCACCATCTCATATCAGGGCTATGAAAGTTAAATGTAATAAATTGTAATACACTAAAACTATTATCGGACATACCAATTTTTTTTTACAAACGAACGTCAACTCTACTTATATTTATATGACGTCACATGTATTGCGTAACTCCTTTTGTTGGCGGAGATAACCAATCTTGGGTAGGGTTATTTAGGATTGGTGGTGTTAAATTCAATAAACAATAATGTATTCACTATACTGTATAAGAAGCCCATTTATAGTTTATAAAGGAGGAAACTGTATCGTGAAACAAAATTAATTACAGTAGACCTGTTTAATTTTTTTAAATATCTTATAAAAAAGAAAATACGACATAATGAATGTTTACATGATTAATAAAGTACCAAAACCTCGAATTGAAGCCCTGGGTTTTGTTTTTGTTTTTGTGTTTTGTTTTTTTTTTGCGAATTTTTGGATGGGCTTCTTTCGAGAATACTTTTGCAAAGTAGAAAGGGGGCTTCTTTAGAATTAGTGCTATAAAACAATAAATAGGGGCGCCCCTGTATCAATCTGTGTCATGAGGTTTATCAACCGGCATTAAATCGCCCAAACTACTGTATAAACCAAGCGGTTGTTTTTTGTTTGTTTGTTTTTTTTTTTTTTGTTGTTTCTTTTTTTTTTTTGTTTCCTTGAAATTAATGTACAGTGTTGTACTGTATTATCTCGAAAAAAAAAGCCATGCTGTCTTGAAAAGAAGCCCATGGGCATGGGCTTCTTTTCGAAGCTACTTTTGCAAACTTTAACTTTAACTTTGGGGACTTTGATTCGAGATGGACTTCTCGAGATTAAGCCCACTGGGCTTCTATTCGAGGTTTTACGGTAAAGCTTTAGTCATAAATTTGACATTCATTAGGCCTACACTTCTCTCACTGTCAGTTTGTACTCATACATTTTAGGGCCTACATTGTAACTTTATTTTGGAGGCCTGGTATAACAAGGGACGTGCTTAGTGCGGCAAAATATTGTTGACGTTGACTGTCCTGTCACACCTGATGAAGCCGACTATAGCCGCAGAGCTCGTGCGATCTTTAAAATAGATATAAAAAATCTCAGTGGGCGGCCTACCTCTCTCTGAACAGACACAATATTAAAAATGTCAATTAAAGCTTCTGTCCATTCGAACTGCCTTTAATTCCCGATGAAGTAATAAAAATGAGTCATTACCTCTTTGCCCCGAAAATAAAATATTAATTAATTAATAATTTTAGGAACAGTTGTTCAACACCCCTCAATGTTGTGCTGTTCCTCTGCATTGAGATTGAGATTCAAATAATTTATTGTCAGTGAACATTCGTCATGAAATTTTGTATTCTTGTTACAACATGGACCAGTCGACGACACAGTATACAGTAATTTCACAAGATCAGAGTGCCAACCCGATCATTGGTGACCAAGATGACCGATTAACTTAAGAAAAACAATAGGGTATGGTTCTAATCTATGAAGTCAAATGAATCGAAAAATAGGCCTATGTTTTTGCCATTTTTAGAGTTTAGATAATTCGAGTAATGTACTAGGTAGTAAGTCTTTCTTTGTAGTAGCAGTAATACGGTAGTAGGAATTATTTGGTTACGGAAGGTCCCAGGTCATTGGATATTATAATCAGGCACTGGACAAGTAGCTCTTGTGGTAGTCTTTCACGGAAATGTTTGCTGTTAGGTGGATTACTGTTACTCATAGGCCTACATCTTCAACAGTTGACATAGGTATAGCTAATATTCACTCGCCAAAAATGATTCATGTTATATCTATTTCATTATTATACTGACAAATGTGCCATTTGTTTAGGTTCACTCAAAACTCCAAGAAGAATTATATAATTTATTTTAAAATTATAAACGCGTGTAGTTTTTAAACGCGTCGCATAGCGAATTATGAACGACTTTATTTAATTTTTGAGAAGCTCTGTGGCTTGTCTTATTGTACTCAAACACCGTATACAGGATCTGTGGTGTAATTAACCGATCTCAGAACTTGTCGTGGGATGGCATAATTTATGATTTATTTTCATTCCATCGCAGTAAGCCTGGTGATTATTAGCCTCAGTCACTTGTGTACTTGCGTCCCATGAATACCGGAAATAATAGAAACACAAATGGTATCCTAATCGAACGATCAGTACGGTAATGTAGGAAGTATGCCTATTAGGAGCTTATTGGTGCGAATGAATGCTACTGTAGCAACTTGTTCAGCAATCGAATCTAGTCTGATAAATTAAAACAGCCAATACCTGGTCCATAATTATAAGGTTATACTTATTTATTGTTGTTGTTATTATTATTATTATTATTATTATTATTATTATTATTATTATTATTATTATTATTATTATTATTATTATTGTAGGAACTGGTTAATGCACTAGAATACAGACGTCCATTTTTTTTTCGAATTCTACCGAGTTCACTTTTATTAAAGATATGCTTTTGATGGTTTAGAAAAAAACATGCACACCAAATTCCCTACCATAATTCTTTGCTTTATAAAATGTGTATAAATTTGTCTTTAGAATTCATAATTTTCACACCAATTCTAAAACATGTCATATTTTTGGAACTATCTCCTTAACTCATTAAACGAATCTACAATAACACTTTTCCATTAAAAATATAAATGACGTTATCTTACCGGTACGTCGGATTTAGTTACACGTTTTTACACGTTTTAAGCGTCTGAACCTACAAAGTGTATATTGTAGAAAATGATCTTCTTTTTCCAGTTCTTAAAATTGCAAATGTTAGGATACGGCCAGTGTCGTATGTAGAAGACTTGAAGTGGGGTGCTGATGTTGGCGCGAAGGTGAAGTGAGGGGGGTGGGGCTCGATAATTAGGCTTGTTGAGGGGAACTAACTCGCAAAATAAGGTGATTTTTAACCACTTGATTGACCATGATTTGTGGAGGGGGAGTGCGCCCCCCCCCCCGCACCACCACTAGATACGCCACTACATACGGCACACGTTAGACACAGAACGCGCATCGCGTATGACACAAAATGGCTTCTAAATTCTCAATGTCGCAACTTTTTTTATCTGTGGCTCTGGAACTACACGCACTGACCAGCCCTCACCCTGGCCCTCAC